GGTGAATCACTTCAAGTGGTAATTTCACCTCCTTCACATCCATTGCTCAGGGTGTTGTCTGTGGGAGAGAGAGTTCACGCTCCCCCCCAGCTGCATCAGATACTCATTTGGGAAGCCTGAGCTTTGTGGACACATGACTACATAGAAATCGTGGAAAACAAGTATTTATATTGTGGTTAATACTAAAATATATGCAGAGCAATGCAACTTTGAAGGGCTTTGACAGTGCCTCTTTGTGAAATTTGCCAATGGGGGATTCCCAATCAGAAGGCAACATTTAAAAGATGGGGTAATGTATAGCCTTACATTGTAATTTCTACTTTAACTGTTCCAGCAATGGCAATGCTGTTTTAAAGTGTATCTCCAAGTGACACCTTATGTTTAGGCTTGAATAGTGTGGGGGAAGGATTCGACCCTCTGTCAAGTTATTGCAGTCTGTGTTCCCGATTGGAGAGATGCACCCCTCTAAAGAAAAAAGGGATAAGGGTAGGGGAAATCCAAAAGTTATCCCTGCTTCTTAGGGAACATCAGTGTAAGAAGGGAATACCCCTCACACTGGGAGATTTCCTCTTACTTCCTGTTGCATCTTTGGGACAGGAGATAAAGGAAAATTACCTCAACTGCATGCAGACAGCAAAAAAACCTGGTGATGTACCAAATCAGATGGCAGGGGCAGTGGCAGAATGCAAGTCAAGGTCAGCAACAGCCAGGAAAGTGGGGTACAGGAACATTAGCCAGGATGCAGATTGCAAAACCCAGGCTGAGGTTACAGTGGGTCAACAAGAATCAAGAGATGGGTCAGACGCAAGTGAGGTCATACGCAGGAAGACAAATGTAGCAGGTTAGGTCACAGGTAAATCCAAACGTAGCTGAAGACTGTTCAGCTATCTGTTCATATCACATTCCAACTTAAACAGGCCAGTTAGTGCCAATACCAGTGTCTAGTGTGCACATACGACTATTCACATTCTGCTCAGCATGCACACTAGTATGTCTGTGTGTGCATACTAACACACATATGACAGTAACTTTATGCTCAGAAACTTGCAGATGTACTGGTATTCTCATATTGGAGAACACTGGACCGTCCTTAAACAACCTCTGTAACTATGGATGATTGCAATGTAATGGTCACTAAAGAGAAACCATCCAATAAAGTCATAATATTTCATATATTTGTGTGATAAATATTGTAATACCTCTACTTACCTCATACAGCAGGTGGGCACTGTGCAATCCAATGGGCATCAGAACAAGGACCAGTTCTCTGAGTAATCAGTACTGTGTAAGGCATCATCCACATGGGTGCTAAGGCCCTACACCATAAATGGGCCATTTTTTATGCATCCCTAGCCTGCCAGTGCTCTATACAGTCAGTCCATCCATGGCCATTTAGTCACTTGTCCTAATGTGTGCACGAGTAGGTGAGCAGCACTAAATGCAGACAGTGTTATTACTAATCCCTACTAGTAACTGTTTCCACCTGAGCAAGGGTACTGTGAGTGCTTGGATTCATTAGCCACTAATGGGATAATCTGATAATCTGCACAAATGATAAGCCCACAAAACTGTACACTAACTTTTTTTATTTTATTATTATTAATATTATTATACAGGATTTATGTAGCGCCAACAATTTGTGCCGCGCTTTACAACGTGAGGGAAAACAGTACAGTATGAGGGAAATTTATGAAAACTGGTGCACTCAGAATCCAGTGCAGCTGTGCATGGTAGCCAATCAGATTCTAACTTCAGCTTATTCAATTAAGCTTTGATAATAAAACCTGGATGCTGATTGGTTCCTGTGCAGAGCTGCAGTTTTAGTAAATCTTCCCCTAAGTGTACTCCATTTAACATGGCACATGAAAAATACAAACAAACATCGGGATTTAAAGAAATTGTGTAGTAAACAAATAATCATGCAGATGTCAGGCAGATTCATTGCTCAGAGCACAATGGAGACAACAGGACAAGGAATCCTGCTTAGATTACATCAGATAGAAATGGGCTGCAGCCAAAGCAACAAATCAAAGACATTTAAGAAAGAAAATGTTTGTTTGATTTAATTTCTGTGAATGTGTAAGTACAGAAAGATACAACTCTTGAAGAGTACAAAAAGATATGTTTGATTTGAATGTCTAATGTTGGCTACAGCAAATGACTTGATAACTGATATTGGAAAAATAACAAACAAGATACCACTGACAGGATGTAAATTATGCATAATATGCAGAATTAAAGATGAACTTGAAACATAAATATATTTCCATCACTTACTATCTGATAATTAAAAAAAAAAAGCAAATTAATCAGCAAGACTATAAAATACCCCTTCTGCAATGAAGAGTAAGAATATAGCATAAAACGTAAAATAGATTTAAATCCTCACTGGACAGTGTTTAGTTTTCTAAATCTCTGTGGGGGGCATTTATCAAGCAAATTAACCACACAGTAAGGTGCATTTCAGGCTGCTTTTCACTTAGCAAAGTCTGTGCAACAGACAGTTTATTTGTGACCCCTGTGCCTGTAATCCTGGAGAGCCAACTGTGACAGATTAGCAGCGTTCTAATACAGATTTATTGCTGAAGATGAGACCTATTTTCACTCTGAACATAGAATATTGGAAATGGACTTTAAAGGTGCCTACAAGGTCTACAACATTGTTAAAATGATATACGTTTATTGATACAAAAAGTAAAACGTATTCACACAGATTACAATACAGCTGCAAAGAAATGTGTCAGCAGGAATAGAAGTCTCTCTCCTATTTTCGAAATAGGTAGGATATCACTAGCTTGATATCCCAAGCGAGTGATTTGTAATCCACATACAAATACTAATTCACTGGCTAGACACAGAAGATTCGCCTCAAATGGTAAATCGATATTCTGGGATGTTTAAGGGAGCTGAAACCTCAACATGTTTTTCAGGGATACTCCACTTCCTCGGGAGGATACAGGGAGATCAACAATTCTGCAAATAAACAGCATAACAAACCATCCTACACAAATAAAGAAATAAACAATAGGGTGGATTTAGTAAAGGCAAAAAGACTGTGCATTTGCATTTGAATTTGCACACATTTTCCCCAGAGCTTAGTAAACCTGGTAAAGCGTTGCTGATTTCCCTCATCCAATCACATGCAAGCAAAAATGCATTTTTTTCCTTTTGGCTGCTTCTAATTGGGTATTCTTTACAAAGTGATGCTTTGCTACATTACATTTACTAAGGAAAATGAGTGCAACTGCATTAGCAAAGTGCACAGTCTATTTGCCTTTAGTAAATCAACCCAATTGCATAACCCATATAGAAGGTATATAACACTTGCTACCTGTGCACCAGCAGCCCCACCATGAAAAAAGGCACCATGCCTAGGGCTACCCCACAGGGAAAGCTTTGGAATAAACAGGGTACAGTGCTAGAAGGGAAGAACAGGCAGTCCCTGGGTTACGAAAACAGGCAGTCACTGTCAATTTACGAAGCGCTTTTACATATATTCTACCCTAGTGTGGAACCACTGTGCTGCCGAATAGGTTCTTTAGGTTTGTACCAGAGGCGGACTGACAACTCATGGGGCCCCCGGGCAATAGGGGATCATGAGGCCCCTGTGTCCTTGCCCAAACTCAAAAAAGCCTATGAAAAAGGTACTAGGGGCATCTCATAGGGCCCCCTACTGACCCCAGGCCCTCGGGCAGTGCCCAAGTTTCCAAATGGTCAGTCCACCCCTGGTTTGTACTTAAGTTGAATTTGTATGTATGTTGAAACAGGTACATTTGTTAAGTGTAACTCTAGCCAAAACATTATTTTTAGGTTTTTTGATAGCATAGGGAAGGGTTAACTGGCCATGCAGTGATGTGAGATTGCTGACAGGTCCACCGGACAGTAGGTGGCAGCATGTGTTGAGCAGCAAGATGGCCGCCTGGCGGTTTTCGGGAGCAGCGTGATGTCCCACTGCCTCCATTCTTAGGTATGAGTCATATGTAAGTCAGATGTTTGCAACTTGGGGACTGCCTGTAAAGATGACAAGTAAGACATATATACCTTATGTGTCTGTAGATATTTAACATAGTAATAAGTAGGGAACGTAAAGTATACAGTATATCATCCCTCACCATGTAAGACAACCCATTCAGTTAAAAATAAAAATGAAAGGCAAAACATTTGTGTATGCATATAAAAACATCATAAATACTTTTTTCCCCTGTTGCATAAGCTGCATAAGGACCTGGAGGAGCAGAAACAGCAGAACACTGGTCTTCCCAGTGAATGGTGTGCAGGGAAGGTTTGCCAGGGCAAGCCTGATCATTGGAGGAGAGCAGGTTCAGTTCACAGCACAGCAGAACACTGACCACGCTGTGCTCTCCTTCCTAGTATGGTCAGTTTTTTTTTAATAGGAAAGCAGAGAGACTGGTAGGGACACCAGGGATTTCACACAAAGGAAGCAATATAAAGAGAATAGGATACTTTTCATATGCATGCATACAGTAGGCACATATCAGGAATATGAAATGTTGGGTTTACATGTACCCAATCACATGCAAGGAAGATAATATAAAAATTCATTCTTGCTTGTACCTGATTCGATCTTGGTAGTCAACACGCCTAAACAGTCTATTTACCTTTAGAAAATCCACTCCACTCCTCTATGTCAGGGGTGCATAGTACAGGGTGACAATACAGGGGCACATCTGGAAGACAGTTGTCACTATGGGGGTTATTTACTAAAACTGCATGGAGCAAATTCTGGTGCAACTCTGCAGAGAAACCAATCAGCTTCCAGGTTTTATTGTCAAAGTTTAACCACCTTCCACCCGCCATATAGTAATATGACGGGCGCAAGGTGGTTCTCTCATTCTGGGAGGATGTCATATGATGTCCTCCCATTCTCACTGCGCATGCGCGGCTCAGGGAGCGCGCAGCGTGGCGATCGGCGATGCACTGTGTCCCTTGGACACAGCGGATCAACAATCACGGAAAGAGCCGAAGATGTCGGCTCGGTCATGTGATCAGCTCTAACCAATCACAGCTGATCACATGTAAACAGGGAAATGTCGGTTATAGGCATTTCTCTCCTCTCGAGCTGTCACGCTGACAGCTCGAGAGGAGAGGAGAGCCGGTAATCGGCTTTCCACGGAGGGGACATGTACACTGATCATCAAGGCACTGATGATCAGTGTGCCCTGATGATCAGTGTAGCCCCAGCAGTGCCACCTGTCAGTGTCCATCAGTGCCTTATGTCAGTGCTGATCAGTGCCTCGTGCCAGTGCTCATCAGTGCCACATCAATGCCTATCAGTGCACATCAATGCCACATATCAGTGCACACCAGTGCACATCAATGCCACATATCAGTGCCCATCTGAGCTGCCTTTCAGTGTCACTCATCAGTGCCAGTCAGTGCCACCTATTAATGCCAATCAGTGCCACCTATCAGTGTGCCAATCAGTGCCACCTATCAGTGCCAGTCAGTGCCACCTATCAGTGCCAGCCAGTGCTGCCTACCAGTGCCGCCTATCAGTGCCTGTCAGTGCCGCCTAACAGTGCCAGTCAGTGCCGCCTATCAGAGCCAGTCACTGCCGCCTATTAGTGCCAGTCAGTGCCGCCTACCAGTGCCATATATCAGTGCTATGTATCAGTGCTGACTTTCAGTTCCAATCAGTGATGCCTGTCAATACACATCAGTGCCACCTACCAGTGCCTCCTCATCAGTGCCCATCAGTGCCACCTATCAGTGTCCATCAGTGCAGCCTATCAGTGCACCCTCATTAGCGCACATCAGTGAAGGAGAACAATCACTTATTTACAAAATTTTATAACAAAAACTAAGAAAATTTTTTTTTTTTTAAATTTTCAGTGGTTTTTGGTTTGTTTAAGAAAAAATAAAAATCCCAGAGGTGATTAAATACCACCAAAATAAAGCTCTATCTGTCAAAAAAAATGATAAAAATTTCATATGGGTACAGTGTTGACCGCGCAATTGTCATTCAAAGTGTGACAGCGCTGAAAGCTGGAAATTGGCCTGGGCAGGAAGGGGGTATAAGTGCCCTGTAGGCTAGAGGTTAAATGAACAAGCTGGAGTAAGAAGTTAATTGGCTACCATGCACAGCTGAACCACATTTTGAGTGCTCCAGTTTTAGTAAATCTTCCCCTATATACCAGCAAATGCTCAAACATATATGCTCAGGGATTCATTGGGGGCCACAAAATCTTATTGCCAAATTGAAAAGAATAAACAATAATATTGCTCAAGGAGGATGTGAGAGATCCAAAGATGGCATCCGGAGCTCCTGTTCACAGGAATGTGAGAGATCCAAAGATGGCGTCTGGAGTCCTTGGGATGTTCACAAGTATGTGTGAGATCCAAAGATGGCGTCCACCCTGGAGCTCAACATTGGCATCAGCGTAATGATGTAGGGATATCCAGCATGCAACGGGACGCGTTTTGGAGCATGAGTGAGGCCGATGAAAGGCAAAGGCGCGCTCCCTTCTTAAGCATCAGCTTATTACCTGTGGGGCCGTATTAAACCGGAACACGGGCCGCAATTGGCCCGTGGGCCGGACTTTGGACATGCCTGTTTTAACAGAAGCTTCAGATTTAAAAAAATACATAACAACTTTTTAAATTACATTAATATAATAAAGCTTATGTGAGGTTTAATTGATTGACTTTATGGCTACTGTGATGCTTATTTATTTATTTTATTTCAGATACTTATATAGCGCCGTCAATTTACGCAGTGCTTTACATATATATTTACGCATACAATTTAAGGTCCCTAACTTACATTTTTACATACACATACTAGGGCCAATTTAGACAGGATCCAATTAACCTACCAGCATGTCTTTGGAGTGTGGAAGGAAACCTACGCAGGCACAGCAAACATGCAAACTCCAGGCAGGAGGTGCCATGGCTGGGATTCGAACCAGTGACCTAATACTGCAAGCCATACTGTGCTACCCAGTTTAAATGTATTTTCAAGAAAAATGGAAATTCCTGCATGATTTAGACCCCTTCATGCAGTATGTGAAATTATTCCAACCTCTTACAAGTAGTGATGAGTAAATGGATTGCAAATAGATGAATTGGGAAATTTGAGATTTTTTTAAATTATTAAAACATATGTAGATGAATCCGATATGCAGAAAATTATACAATTAAACAGTCTGGGTTCCTGAATTGTTGTTGGAATTGTTGGATTATCTGCAGATCAGACAGATCTGCATAAAATATTCAGGAGAATCAAATGTTTTTGAATCATTGATTCTTCTGATCCATTCATCACTTTCTACAACACCTTGAAAACCACAGTGAAATTCTCTGTCTGCTGTTGTTTGAAGTGTAAGGCATACTAGATCTGACCACAAAAATATAGTGATACCAGTAGGGATAGGGAATGAAAAGAGAGCAGTCATGATGACTCTGAGTCTGAATTTTGAGTCTTACTCTTTAATAACTGTGCAGGTTCCACGGCCCCACCACTGCTCTGACCTCCTCTTCCACCCCACCCTACATTCCTCATACTGAAGCTCCCCCCACACTCCGCACCTTTGACCTTACTACCATCGAGGAAGTCTCCAAGATCCTCTCTGATGCCCACCTCACCACCTGCCCCCTCGACCCTATCCCCTCACAACTCCTACGACCTTCCTCCTCCTCCATCCTACGCTCCCTCACCCACATCTTCAATCTCTCCCTCTCCTCAGGCACTTTCCCCTCCCCTCTGAAACATGCACACATCACCCCCATACTTAAAAAGCCCTCCCTGGACCCCAATGACCCGAACAACCTCAGACCCATCTCCCTGCTCCCATTTACATCTAAACTCCTCGAGCGCCTAGTCTACACCCGCCTATGCTCTCACCTCAACGACAACAACCTCCTCGATCCCCTACAGTCCGGCTTCCGTCCCCTACACTCCACCGAAACTGCCTTACTCAAACTCTCCAACGACCTGCTAACCGCCAAAGCTAATGGCCACTATTCAGTGCTCCTACTCCTTGACCTCTCTGCGGCCTTCGACACAGTCGACCACCCCCTCCTCCTCAAAAAACTACACTCCCTCGGCCTCAGAGATTCTGCTCTCTCCTGGCTCTCATCCTACCTGTCACAACGCTCCTTCAGCGTTACCTATAATGCTACCACCTCCCCCTCACTCCCCCTCTCTGTTGGGGTCCCTCAAGGCTCTGTCCTTGGGCCCCTTCTCTTCTCCATCTATACCTCCTCCCTTGGCCAACTCATACACTCTCACGTCTTCAACTACCACCTCTATGCCGACGACACACAAATCTATCTCTCAACCCCCCACCTCACCCCCTTGGTCTCAGCCCGAATCACACACCCTACTGAGCGACATATCAGACTGGATGTCGCTCCACTTCCTTAAATTGAACCTCTCCAAAACCGAGTTTTCTTGTCTTCCCCCCAGCCCGGACACCACCCCCCATTGATTTCTCCGTCATATCCAACAACGCTACCATCAAACCCGCCCTGCAGGCCAGAGTACTGGGTGTCATTCTGGACTCCAACCTATCCTTCCAGCCCCAAGTCCAATCTTTAACAAACTCGTGCAGACTCCACCTCCGCAACATCGCCAAAATCCGCACGTTCCTAACCCCAGAAACCACTAAACAGCTCATCCACTCTCTCATCATATCACGACTCGACTACTGCAACTCCCTCCTCCTCACTGGCCTGCCTCGCCGCTGGCTATCCCCGCTTCAGTCGATCCTGAATATGGCTGCCAGACTCATTCACCTTTCCAACCGCTCTGTCTCCGCCACCCCCCTCTGCCAATCCCTCCACTGGCTTCTGATTGCGCAACAGATCAAATTCAAAATCCTAACACTGACGTACAAAGCTGTCCACCATACTGCCCCGAACTACATCACTGACCTAATATCCAAGTACCGCCCAGCACGCACACTCCGCTCCTCACAAGACCTCCTTCTCTCTAGTTCCCTGGTCTCCTCCTCCCATGCCCGCCTCCAGGACTTCTCCAGGGTGTCACCCATCCTCTGGAACTCCCTGCCCCAACCCATCAGATTATCACCTACTCTCCTCTCCTTTAGGCGCACCCAGAAAACTCATCTCTTCAGGGAAGCCTACCCCACCCCCTGCTAACTTGCCGACCTCCTCCACTCTTCCTACCACTCCATCCCCCACAGCTATCTCCTCCTGTGCCACCATCCCCTCCCTCCTAGATTGTAAGCTCGAAAGAGCAGGGCCCTCGAACCCCTCGTGTATCACATTGTATTGGTATTGTTCTGTCACATGTTCTGTCCCCCTTTGTAATGTACAGCGCTGAGCGAACTATTGGCGCTTTATAAATACTGTATAATAATAATAATAATAATAATAATAATAAAAAAGAAATCCCAATCTCCTCTTATTTAGCCTCACTTCCTTTGCTTGTTATTTATGGCTCTGAATGTCAGGGGTCTGAGTTCTCCAGAAGTCTGCTAATCCTCAAAATCACAATACTGATAGTTTTTAAAGGGCCTACTAAAGGCTTTTTCCTACTTTATTGCAATTCTGTTCTGACAGTGGCAGTATAGATGCCCCTGCCACACTATGTAAGTAGATCGGTGACATCTGTACACACATGTAGTCAGGTAGTAGGCAAGGCAGCAACTTTTAGACCTTAGAATATATGGCACTGGCCAGTTATACTATATATTGACGTGCTTACATCCCAACTCACAGAACCATAGTAAACATAGTAAACATACATTTTTGAAAACAGGGACTTTACAACACCAAAATATTACAACAAAAAAATATGTAAAACATAATTTTATTCGATCCAATCTTAAAAACAAATAAATAATACTCTGTACAAGGTAATATACAAAAATGGTGATGGTTTGGCTGTATTCACCAAAAAAAGGAGACCCCTTTTAGACCTTAGGTGACCCTTAACCACTGACATTTATAATGAAGAATCAGGTACAGACAAGTTAGTGAGTTTACCAACAGATTTTAATATTTGATAGGAAACCCTATGCAATTTAAATAAGTAAGACTAGCTGGAGACAATAAAGCCCACTGAAGCTACCCAAGACTAATGAAAATTTTGACTTGCTGTGAATAAACATTAAAGCCCAATTTTAGCTTGGGTAAAGAAAGCCAAATGTAAGCCCCCAGCATGACTTAAATTTTAAAATGCAACTCCAGCTGCTGTACTCCCCTTACAGCACAGGTGTCAAACTGGCGGCCCTCCAGCTGTTGCTAAACTACAAGCCCATCTTGCAGGCATTGCAAGATTGACAGTTACAAGCATGACTACCAAAGGCAGAGGCATGATGGGACTTGTAGTTTCACAAAAGCTGGAGGGCCACCAGTTTGACACCCCTGCCCTACAGTATCTCTGGTGCAGTTTCCTGCAGACACACAGGGATTTCAGGGATTTAGCACAGCTCCTCCTCTGGGTTGAAAGATGCCCACTATTATTAACCTCCCTAGCAGTCTGATTATGTCCATATTTCTGTGCTCAAAGCGGTACATTTTTTTGCATGGAAAAATGTATTTTTTTTTATTGTA